ACTTGATCTAGCGAGAAGGTTCTAATAAATACACGTGCCTCTTTCGAAACACACTCCGGTGTGCGCAGGGAGAACTTTGAAGCAGGGCTAAACGCCCACGTGAAATCAGCCTGGCTTACTGGCCAGGAGGAAGAAGCAGGAGGGACTGCCTCCGGTGTGTGTGTGTTTGTACATGAAAACGGAGCCCTTCCAGGTTGCTGGCTTCTTTTCAATGGGCATGGCCCTTCAGCTTCCCCTAAATAATGCACGCTTAGCTTGGGCGTGTGTGTGACAGGTAACTACCCAACAACAAAAGGCTGAGGATTAAACTCCCATCAATATTTAAGAACCCGGAGCCTTTGCTCACGCGGAGGCAACCACGAATGTATTTAAAAGCCAGGGGACGGGCAGGGCGAGATCCGTGGCTCTGGACGGAAGCACCCGTTGGTTTTTAGTCAAGCAGTTTAGTCCGAGGGCCCCTTTTTGTTCTGCGTGAGTTGGAGACCTGCTTATTTCACGGCCCTTTCTAAACCGTGATAGCGGCTGAAGGAGCCCCCGCCAGAAAATCAGCAGGCACCACAGTTTCACAAGACGGCAAATTCATGTCAAGAGCGGCTCCTCCTGGCCGGACAGTCAGCTCAGAATGATGAGCTTTTGGGCTCGCCGCGATGACACTGGATCACATTCGGTTACATCTGATCAGACTTGGGAGGGATCTGGAGTTCTAAAGGAGCAATGTAGCAAGTCTCAGATTTCAGAAGATGATCCGTTATTTCTTTTAAGATCTTTACTAGGTTTCTAGGCCTTATGGCTGTGAAGCCGTGACCTAAGGGATGTGGAGAAGGACCAGAAGGGAGAGAGTAACGTAAGAGCCTTGTTAAATCAGAGGCTGATTCCATATCAAGAACCAGTGCACCTTTAAGAGGAAAATGGGGTTTATTCTAGCAAGAGCTGGCCTTGAGCTGCCTTCAGCAAATCTGCCTGCTTTGAGTTGCGCCTGGTGAGCTTCGAGGTAGCGAGCGCTTTTTTTTGCTTGCCTCACCATGTGGTCCTGAAAGATTTGTGTTCCTGCAGGGACAACACTGTAAGAGGATGAAATACGCACGTAGGTGTGGTTTGATCTGGAAATTCTCATTAGCTGTATGTAAGGCCTATCTATCTGTTTCTTCTGGTAATTCCTTGGGACTTTCTTGATAGCAGGAACAAGCACACCATTTCCCACATCTCTCGGGATTCCCTGTTCCCTCTCAGCTGAGCTGCACGCCTCACAAGATTTGGGGAAGACCCCGGATAGCGTTGCAAGCTACCTCTGTTGCAATGCAAATTACTGAGAGTGACACTAAAGAGCCATTAACTTTGCAAAAGACCGGCTGTTCGTAGAGGTTGCTCTAACTGTCTGCATTTTTGGACTTCTTTCTTTCTTAGGGAAGGAGGGCTGATGACAGTCTTGGAAATTTGCCTCCACACCACTGGTCTCTCATCAGAGGATTGAGCTGGCACAACATTTTTGAGTGCAGAAGTGCAGAGACTGTTTGTGCTCTCTCTCTCTCTGTGTGTGTGTGTGTGTGTAAGAGAAACACACAGAGAGAGAGAATGTCGGTAGAGGTATTTCCACCGAAGTGCAGGACTCTGTAGTAAGGCAGCTGAACCACACACACATACAAGCCATTGAGCAATTGACAGTCAGTAATCAACAGCAATTAGCCCAACTTCCCACTGGACTTACTCGTTCCTTCTAAGCAGAGAAACTCTTCCGGGAAAGATGTTTAAGTTAATGGAGGAGGGGGAACCCCACAGCTTCCTCCGGCCATGAGAAAGACGGGTTGACCAGAGATGGACTCTTGCATGCGACTGGAAGCCGAGCGAGGAGGAAAGGCCAACCCGGCTGGGCTGTGGGGAACAGAGTTCCAGAAAAGCACCTAGCGAGGTGAGGATTTCAACCTCCCTCGAACCCAGACCGCCTTTCTGTGGCAAGGGGCGTCTCGCTAAATTAAATTATAAATTAAAAACCCCGAATGCGGCTTATCCCACCCCTAATCTGCACTGGCGTTTGGAAAAGCTAGAATTGGCTTCCAGCTGGCAGGGGTGGCGTCAGAGCGGGTGGACTTTGAAACCACCAGAGGCTGGTCACGGCAAGGGAAGTTGTAAAACGGGCTGCGGCAGGCGACGGAGAATCAAGGGGAAGCAAAGCGAATCATGTCTGGCTTCCTGAGGTTCCTGCTCCGGGCCTGAAAATGATTTCGTTCCCAAATTCCCTTGGATGCTAAAAAATCCCAATTATTTACCTTGGAATTTTGCTTGACTGTTCTGTTACCCGGACGCCTGGGTCTTATTGGGTTCACGCTATCTGCTCCCTCCGGTCTGCCCTTTTGCACTTCTACATGAGTCACATTTCTGACGGTGCAAGGGTTCTTCATCCCCCCCACCCTGGCCCACTAGTTGCTTCTGGGAATCCGACAGATCCAAGTCATGAGAGCAATGGGCAGCAATTGCCATGGAGGGATAGACTGCTCCTGGACATGGATGTTCCATGGGGTCATTGTGGCCAAGAGCCATAGTTGTTGTTTAGTTGTTTAGTTGTGTCTGACTCTTCGTGACCCCATGGACCAGAGTACGCCCGGCCCTCCTGTCTTCCACTGCCTCCTGGAGTTGGGTCAAAGTCATGTTGGTCGATTCAATGCCATTGTCCAACCATATCATCCTCTCTCGTCCCTTTCTCCTCTTGCCCTCACACTTTCCCAACATTAAGGTCTTTTCCAGGGAGTCTTCTCTTCTCATGAGATGGCCAAAGTATTGGAGCCTCAGCTTCAGGATCTGTCCTTCTAATGAGCACTCAGGGTTGATTTCCTTCAGAATGGATAGGTTTGTTCTCCTTGCAGTCCAGGGGGCTCTCAAGAGCCTCCTCCAGAGCCATAGAGAATCAATCTCACAAAAGTGTGGGATCTGAAGGGTTATGGAGTCCAGCTTTCCACCCATGCAGGACTGTAGGAGTTACTGCAAAGTTTCACAACATTCAAGAGAAGCAACCTGGAAGGGCCATGTTTGGGATGGATGGTCCGTAAGAAATTTCCGCCTCTTCTAGCAGCAGCGAGAGGTCTCACACCTCACCTTTCCCCACCTGTTGGACTCCACTAGCTAGATGTGAGTCTCTTGGCTCCAAAGCCAGTGGCAGGTCTTCCCAGGCGACCCACCAATAACTTCTCAGCCCCTGCTCAAGAGTTTGCTTCCCACCCTCTCCTGACCCCAAACAGACGACGGCCTTTTTTTTTTTTCATGCTACAGCCACAAACAGGTATTTAAATCATTGCTCATATTCATGCAGCAGGCAAAAATGAAAGTTTTTTCCCCAAAAGTCCTCTCTCTACTGAATAAAAGTATGACAATGTGCACATTTCTTTTATATTTCAAGACTTTTTGGGGGAAGGAACCCACATTTTGGAAGTTTATCCGAAAGAACTTTGGCTTTTGTGCAAAAAAACCACACCAAAAAAAAAATCCTCTGTGCTTTGCATCTAAGAATTTGCATGTTATGTTAAGGTTTTCGTGCAAAATAACGTTTGATGCAACATACCCGGTTTCTGCAATATATATATTGCAAATATATACATATATATGTAGTGAAAGAATATATATATTCCTTTACTAACTCTGCTGATGGCAATAAGATGTGCTGGACTTTTCACTCATGCGAGAGAAGCAAGAAACAAACCATCTTAATCTGTTTTACTAATCAATTTAATTTGTTATTGACTTTCAGTTGGCACTGATTATGTTCTGTTCTGTCCTCTGTTATAATTCACTCATTGTTAGCTGCCAAGACTAAACACTGTGTTAGATGGGAGATAGAAAAATCAATCAATCAATCAATCAATCTCACAAGAGGGGCCCTTTTACTGCCTGGGTGTCTCCAAGTATTGCCACCCCTTTTTTCAATGGGGGGGGGGACAAGAAAATCTGTGGGCCTGAAACGTTGCATGATTGATTGAGCTGCCAGGATTCCAACCCCTGCATTGTCCATGTTAAAAAAAAACAATAACCATGAACCTCATCAATACAGAAATATACATCTTCGTCGTGTGCATGTTGTGTTGTACCCTCGTTTTTACTTTCCAGATAGTCCTCCCACAAAACCCTGGGAAAGGCAGTAGAGTCTGGAGACCAAAAATCCTTAACAACAAAGCAGCTGCTGTAACAAAATGTTGCAGTGCGAAAAGCGGATCTGTGGCTGCTCCATTCCATTCAGTTCCCCCTCCCAGTGAGCTCAATATTAGAATCACAGAACTGTGAAGTTGGACATGGGATCCCCCAGGGTGATCTAGTCCACCCCGTGCAAAATGGGAAATCTACCACTCAAGCCTCCTCAAGGCTTGGCTGCTCAAAATGTTTTGAACTATCTCCAGTGAAGGAGATCTTACTGCCCTCTGAGGCAGCCATTTGCCTGGGGAGCGAGGGTCCCACCCCAACATGAAGGGCTTCCTACGTTTCCATTGTAATCTCTCTGGTTTTTGCCATTTACCGCATTTTTTCGTGTATAAGACTATACTTTTGTCTAAAATCTTTAGACTAAAAATTGAGGGTCATCTTATACACGGAAGTAAGCTGAGGAGAGAACAAAAACAAGTGGAGGGGAAAGCAGGGATCAAAGCGATTCTGCAGCGCTTTGATCCCTTTTCCCCCTACACTTGCTAAGCCCCATTTAGATTTCTTAATTTTGAATTAGAAAAGTGGGGGGCATCTTATATATGGGGGCGTCTTATACACAGAAAAATACAGTAAATCCAACTCACACTCCATCCTCCGGAGGTGCAAAAAACGAGTCGGCTCCACCTGGGCCGGGAAAGCCCTTCAAACCTTGGAGCAGGGCCATGGAAACAGACCTCCATTCGAGACCAGTTCCTTAAAGCCGACCTACAACTTCCAGCATCCTCCCGGCAGGCAGGGAGGACTCGTTTCTCCATCCGAGTCTACAGTGCAGAGAAAGGGGGACATAAAGTGGGGAAGAGAAACGGGTCTGGACTTACTTCCAGTCGACGAGGAGGAGCGCCGTTGGCTGGTCGAAGCCGGGTGGTTCTCGGCGGGCAGCAG